CGACAAGTTGGCTGAACCAGGCATGGTGCCACCATCAGCAACAGCGTCAATTCCTGCAATTTGTGAAACACATGCCTTTTTATACAGAAAAATATCATATAAGGAACCAAAAAAAAAAAACATCAATTCAGCTACACCTGAGATTCGGGGATATGAATCATTCATTCTCTTTTGAAAAATATAATTGTAGGAAGAAAAATTATTGTTTTTTAACCAAATGTTAATGATATCGCCTATGGGCAATATTTTACATGCTGTGTTGTATTTGCAGTAACCAAACTAACGATATTACTTCTTTTGGCCAGAGGCAAGATATAATTGTTGAAAACATATCAAAATACACACGAGACCAAAAACAAATACGCGATGAGTTGTTTTCCCGCGCCCAAAACGCAAGCACGAAAACAAAATACGCCGCTTTGGATAAACGCGCGAGAAATTCTTTGACTGTATAAAACCAAAGTGTCACCATGTTCATATCTATTTGCAATGCCTAATGTTCTAATATTAAATAATAAACAAGCAGTTTATAAGTTGTTTAAGATCGTAGAATTTCTATTATCGGAGAGCTCAATAACAAGATGCACCTATTTGTTCATCGATTTCGTGTGCGGGAATGCATTCCAAATCAATGTGATAAATGCATTTGTGTAATTTCAGTCATTTGTACGTCTTGAACGCACACACTTCTATCAACCACCTAAATGCTGTTCACTTTGACCTGTAACCATTAAGTCAAAAACAAATGTTGTACCTTCAACAATGTTGGTAGTTAAACCGGCACCAATACAGTTCATTACTCGGACACTGTACACGGAGGCTGCAGTGGCAATACCGACGTCCTTTCCAACCGATGTACCGCCACAATGGGTGCCGTGGCCGTTACAATCATCTCCCTGCAATATAATATTGAAGGTTTGTTACGCTTAAAAACAATACATTTTTATTTCGTGGCCAATACCAACAAATAAGAAATATATGTTTCACAAGTTGAGTTGTCTATACTTAAACAGGGCACTGGAATTAGAAGATGTGTATTTAGCCGTTTCCTAATATCTGACCCTCGTATTTTTTTCTGAACTATGAAGTATGCTACTCCTTTTCAATTTTTCTCGCGACGAATGGTTTCTATGACGTCAAATATACGTAGAAGGGTGTAAGCAATTTTGTTCAAATATACAACTACTTTTTTTTTGTTTTGTAGCCGTTCGTCACATCTTTGAAAGACGGTGCTGTTTATAAATGGCTGTCAGACCACTAATCATAAACGGCGTCCCAGTCACTCATTTACGTCACAGGAGTGATTTATCACTAGAGGGCGTGAA